AAGACCCACAAGGCCCAGTTGATATCTCCTCTCCAAATAAATAAATAAATAAATAAATAAATAAATAATTAATTAATTAATTAATTCAACTTCCCTTTTTTGCATGCGCTGCAGGCGTCTCCTCTTCCCGCAGAAAAGCCCGCAAGGCCCACTTCGGGGCGCCCTCGAGCGTCCGCAGAAAAATCATGACGGCCCCTCTTTGCAAAGAACTCCGCAAAAAATTCAACGTAAGCAGCAGCAGCAGCAGCAGCAGCAGCAGTTGCTGCTGTGATAACAGCAGCAGCAGTTGCTGCTGCGACAGCAGCAGCAGTTGCTGCTGCGATAACAGCAGCAGCAGTTGCTGCTGCTGCTGCAGCAATATCTGTGCAGCAGCAGCAGCAGCAGCAGCAGCAGTGCGGTGGTTTGTGGGGTCCGCCGGACTCTCCTGGAGCTGCACTTGTTCAGATTTAATTCCTTCAAAGTGCATTTAATTCCTCCAAACAAATTACTATTCAAAATAAACAAATAAATTAAAATAAATAAACCAATTAATTTAAATTAATTAATTAAAATAAATTAATTAATTAAAATTAATTAATTAATTAATTAAAATTAATTAAAATAAATAAATAAATTAATTAAATGGACTTGCAGGTTCGCTCTTTGCCAATTCGGAAAGACGACGAAGTGATGATAGTGCGGGGCCGCTTTCACGACAGAGAGGGAAAAGTGACTCAAGTTTACCGCAAGAAGTTCGTGATCCACATCGAGAGGATTTCCAGGGAAAAGGCCAACGGTTTGCTGCTGCTGCTGCTGCTGCTGCTGCTGCTGCTGCTGCTGCTGCTGCTGCTGCTGCGGGGGGGTGCGGGGGTGGTGGCTGCTGCGGCGGCGCGGCTTTCGCGGCGTCGCTGCGGCTTTCCAGCGCCTCCTGCTGCTGCTGCTGCGCACCGCCGCTGCTGCTGCTGCTGCTGAGACCCGCTGCTGCTGCTGCTGCTGCTGAGACCCGCTGCTGCTGCTGCTGCTGCTGCTGCTGCTGCGTTCTTTGGGACACTGGGGAGGTCGAGGGCGGCTCCCGCTGCTCCTCAATTATTTTGCTTTGAAATGCGTTGCGTCTTTAAGTCCGGGCAGAAGCAGCAGCAGCGCGCTTTGCTGCACTAGAGATAGATTTAGATAAAATAGATTTAGATATAAAGGATTTATTTTTAAACAGCTGCAGCAGACTAGCAGCAGCAGCGCGCTTTGCTGCACTAGAGATAGATTTAGATAAAATAGATTTAGATATAAAGGATTTATTTTTAGAAAAGCAACAGTCGTTTTGGACTTTGAGAGAAAGATGCTGCTTCAGATCCGCTGCAGCAGCTGTGGCTGCTGCTGCAGCGCTAGGTAGACGGAAACGGAACAAAATAGCCTGCTTGGCTCTCCCAATAAGCTTGTCTCGATCAGTTTTCAAGAATTAGGACTTTAGAGAATAGCGAGGAATAATTTTATTTCCCATTTGGCGCCGGATCGCGCGAGAATTCAAGAGCGAGTTCGGGTGTCTGGACAGCTCAGGAGGTGTGCAGGTTCCACTTGCATCGAGCCAAAGTGGAAACTTGAATTGTAAATTCCGGCGGAAGTTTTGATTGCATTTGAAAACAGCATTTGAAAACTTTGCCGAAATGGACGTTTCTGCAATTAAAGCGCGCAGTTTCCTCGGCTTTATGAGCATAAGATCGGTGCGTTTTGAGTGCAAGTTGAACTGGAGCTCTCCGGAGGAAATCTCCGGAAAGCCGGCGTTTAAAGGCGTTTTTCGCGGAAATAATTTGCAAAGAACTTCAATTTGAACTTTCAAACTTCTCCAGGGGCTCGTTGTCGTCGCTTTCCTCCAAATTCTCGTCGGAGTCTTTCTTTTCATGTCTTTCAAATTCCTCCGGCCGACGCTCGTTGGCCCCGCGTGGTTTCTGCTGCTCACGAATTGCCTCAGCGCAGTCTTGGGGTGAGCAGCAACTCCAGTTTCATTTCCTTTCAGTTCGAGAACCCAAACCCTAAACCCTAAACCCTAAACCCTAAACCCTCGCAAATGCAGAATCTGGGGACTCTGGCGCCGCAACCAATCCGTCGAAATTGCCTATCTCGCCAGCTTCATTGTCAGTCTCCTTTTCCTCATTTTGGTCGTTTTGACTTTTTCCGACACCATCGAGCTCCTGCCCCCCGCGCCCAAGGGAGCCGTGAGAAACCCTAAACCCTAAACCCTAAACCCTAAACCCTAAACCCTAAAGTGCTGGACACACCCGCCGCACAAGCCTGCCTCCTGCACCTTCTCGCACACCTAAGCCCCTAAACCGCAAACGCTAAACAAACCCTAAACCCTAAACCCTAAACAACAAACCCTAAACCCTAAACCCTAAACCCTCGATGCGCGGCGTTTTCAGGCGGCGGAGGGTTTTCGGCAGTTGGAAATAAAAGCCCGCTACCGCGCGCGAGCTGCTGCTGCTTTTAATCGACTTCGCGCAAATCCAGTTTTTGCACAAGTGCTGAAAGATCTGCAGCTGCAGCAGCTGGAGCCGCTGCAGCAGCAGCAGCCGCTGCTGCAGCAGCAGCTGCTGCAGCCGCTGCAGCAGCAGCAGCTGCTGCAGCCGCTGCAGCGGCTGCAGCAGCTGCAGCAGCCCCTGGACTTCACCGATTTCCATTTGCCCACAGTTGAAATTCCTAAAGTCGAAATCCCAGACTACGAACACATGCCCTTCGGTGACTCCCTCGCCTCCTCAACCTGCTGCTGCTGCTGCTGCTGCTGCTGCTGCTGCTGCTGCTGCTGCTGCTGCTGCTGCTGTTGTTGTTGCCGGTGCTGCTGCTGCTGCTGCTGCTGCTGTTGTGCTGCTGCTTCCGTTGCTGCTGCTGCTGGTGCTGCTGGCGTTTGGTTTTTCTTTGGACTATATTTTGTTTTATTTATTTATTTATTTATTATTATAATTAATTAATTAATTAATTAATTAATTAATTAATTAATTAACTAATTAATTACTTTATTTATTTATTTCAATTTTAGTCCCTCACGCAAATCAAACTGCGGGGGAGAACGGAGAAGTTTCTGTCAGCGAATTGCCGCCTGAGTGAGTTCTCTTTTTAACTTGTTGAAATTAAATTAAATTAAATTAAATTAAATTAAATTAAATTAAATTAAATTAAATTAAATTAAATTAAATTAAAATTGAGATTTATTTTATTTATTTTTTTAAATTCAAAACAGTTTCAAGAAGCTGAACACCCACCAGCAAGACGAAGTGCTCGCGATTGCTAAAATGCAAAAACGGCGTAAGAACAAAACCCTAAACCCTAAACCCTAAAAGGTTGTTTCAAAACCCTAAACCCCGAAAGGTTGTTTCAAAACCCTAAACCCTAGAAGGTTGTTTCCAAACCCTAAACCCTAGAGGCTCATCTTCGAGGTCCAAACCCTAAAAGGTTGTATAGAACCCTCGCTTGGTTTCTGAATCGCAAACCCTAAAAGGTTGTTTCAAAACCCTAAATTGAAAAAAGAAATAAAAAGAAATGCCAAATTGGATGCAATTAAAAAAGAAATTCAAAAAGGATTTCTCTTCAGCTTTCCAGTTGGGAATTGCGGGGGCGCTTTCTCTGGTGGTTTTGTTTGAAGTGTATTGGTGAGAAGAAATGCATTTTGGAATTTGCAAAAAAGAATTAAATAAATAATTAATTTGAAAAATGAATTAAATAATTAATTTGAAAAAGATGAAATAAATAAATAATTAATTTGAAAAAAGTGAAATAAATAAATAATTTATGAATTTCAATTCATGAATTGAAAAAAAGGAATTAAATAAATAATTAATTTGAAAAAACGAAATAAATAAATAATTTGTTTCCAAGTGCACACTTGCAACGCTGCCTCCAAAGCACTTCAAACGAAGAAAACGAATTCATTTATTTCATTTATTTTATCATTTATTTAATTTATTACTTATTTATTTATTTCTTTATTATTTATTTATTTATTTATTATTTATTTATTTATTTATTATTTATTTATTTATTTATTATTTATTTATTATTTGTTTCCGCCAGTGTCTGGATCGTGTTGACCTTCATCATGAACAAGTGCATGAGCTTCGACGAGATGATCGCCGCGGCGGAGCAGTGAGAGTTTAATTTAAAATATATTTTAATTTAAATTAAAATATAAATTAAATTTAAATCTATTTTGAATTTAAAATGAATTTAAATTGAATTTAAATCTATTTTTAATTTAAATTGAATTTAAAATGAATTTAAATCTATTTTAAATTTAAATTAAAATATATTTTAAATTTAAATATATTTTGAATTTAAATCCATTTTAAATTTAAATTAAAATATATTTTAAATTTAAATTGAATTTAAATTGAATTTAAAATGAATTTAAAATGAATTTAAAATGAATTTAAATATATTTTAATTCAATTTAAATTTAAAATATATTTTAAATTCAATTTAAATTTGAAATAGATTTAAATTCAATTTAAATTAAAATAGATTTCAAATTCAAGTTGCACTTCAAGTCCAGTTCGAAGTTCCCCAAATCCCTGAAATATATTTCAATTCAAAGTTGAATTTCATTTCCGAATTTGTTTTAAATTAAATTCAAAAATATTTCAAATTTTATTTCCAAAAAATAAAAATAAAAAATAAAAAATAAAAAATAAAACTTTTTCTTTTCTTTTATTTATTTTCCAACTTTCCACTTTCAGGTTCGAGCCCCTCGTGGGAGCCGAATGAAGCCCAAGAGGAAATTGAACTTCCAAACTTTCTTCATTTTCTTTTAATTCTTTTATTTATTTTATTTGTTTTATTATTTTATTTATTTTATTTATTTTACTTTATTTATTTGTTTTATTTATTTTGTTTGTTTCAATTTTCTCCAGTTTTCCTTTTGCCTCTGTTAAGTCCAATCGACGGGCAAGCAGCAGCTGCGGGTGTCCGGAGAAGATCATTTGAATTAAAATAATTAAAAGAATTAAAAGAATTAAAATAATTAAAAAGAATTAAAAAGA